TATGCAATTTGTTTGTTTGTGTTCCTATTCAGGTGTGTACTGTGTACCGTTTCAAATCTGCTGTACACCGAGTGTACAGTGCTGTGAACTGTGATTAGAGATAAAAATTATAGATTTAGAGAAGAGTGATGGTTGGTCCAGGTTGGATGCTGCTTTTAGTTTTACTTTTAGCTAGTAGTTTTCTCAAAATTTTCTAGGTATTGTCACAATAAGCCTATTTTATTTACCTAGGTAGGTACCTACGCTTTTTCTAAATTTAGGAGTCATCACTCATAATAAAGACTCATTGGGTTAATAAATTAGCTACATGGAATGCATATTGCATAACCATGTCAATCACCAAACTAGAAAATCCTATTCAGAACTGAAATGAAAAATTCAATAGAAGTTGCAGAACTAACAGAAGCCACTTGAGAAACATTCATGTAATTACCTATTAAAGTTAATTATAGATATGCTTTTACTGTATTCCAGTTTAGTTGGCTTTTTTCACTTTAGCAATTAGCAGTTAGCACTCCTGTAGGCTGTAGGAGTAGTAGGAGTGTAGGACCATAGACTGAACTTTGAATATCAAATTGATAGTTTTTTTTTTGTTTAGTAGGGTAAACGCGGTATATATATTCCGACACATTAAGGACGCATCGAGAAATGAAAAACTATAAAAAAATAACCGTATGTGTTACTCAAGTTCTGTTTGCATTATGTGACTCAAAACACTGTAGTGGCCGTACTACGCGCCAGCAATGATGAAACGTCACAAAATGTTGCCATATTTATTTAAAAGCCTTTAGAATGCAAACCTACCAAATCCCTATATTCCGACACTGTGTGTGACTATATTAGGCACGTGATGAGACGTATTCTGACCGCCGCGCTTCAAATTGTATTTGTACTAATACGTAATTCTGACATCCACGTGTTCGAATTCCGATCGCTGTGTGTGTGTGAGGCTGTGAGCTGTATTGGAATATGACACGGCTTTGAATTAGAACACTATTAATTATTAAATATTGAGCACTACTTAATTAGGCTTTTAATTAACAGTTATTAAGCTTTTAATTAAGAAAATTTTAATTTTTGCACACAGCTTGGAACGAGCTGTGTGTGTGTGTCCAATTCAAGTTGTGTTGGAATTAGTTTTTATGTGTCTAAATCTGTTTCTCAACTTAATCATCTATCAATTTATTTACCACTTGAAATCAGCAAATACAAGTACCGGTATACTTGAAGGATTCCTAATATATTCACAGACGTATTTAAAAGTCTCAGACCATAATATTCTTTCTACAAAAACAGTTTATCACTATTTTGTAGAGCAAGGTCAACTGTCAACTTTGACACATTTTTTGATGATCTCATTGGGTAGCATGCACCGTCTCTTTCTTTGGATCTCAACATTTTCCTGCTAGATCGCCCAAACCTAGTGTTTGGGCAGTAGTTTGACGCGCAAATGTATGATGTCACTATTTCAACCATCAATGAACGCATGGAACTAAAACAAGGCTTAATATAAAGGTAAAACTAGAGAGGTGTCGGAATTACCCATGATGTCGGAATATACCGCGTTTACCCTATAACTTTAAACAAAGTCTTTCTCATTTTATGATTAACACGTTGGCCGCAATGTGTGCCATATATGTACACTACTACACGCTGTACTTCTCAGAATCGCGATGTGTACACATGTGGTACATGCCTATGAAAAATACATATTTGTATAAAATCTTATTACTCTTTCAAATTTAAAATTTCAATGATACAATTCAATAGGCATGTTAGGGAATGCTTTGAAGTCAACTACTGCAAAGAGAAATAGCCTTATTTTCAAATGCAAGTAATACAAAAACTACAAAATGTATGTCCATTGATGAAAGCAATATATATACATATATACCTATATCTTTGCATGAAAACAAAATAAAATATTTTTATTGATCTGAAACTACAACAGTAGATGTTGCCAACATCATTATATTGCATACGTGATTGAAAAACAATTATCACACAAGTATGGTTTTCCTTCACAGTCATCAAAATATTTTTTTACCCTTTGAGTTGCACCTTTGCTACGGCACTTCCCTCATTTGCTGAGAGTATGTTGTAGCATTCATGGCAGCGCATCCTGTTTTTAGTTCTAGTTGGTTCAATGTAAGTGGGCTGTCCTCTTTCCCACTCAATAATTTGAGATCTACATCCTGATTTTACTCTCTCTGAGATGCTGCTTGTAACAGAAGCTCAAGACAATATATATAATGAATGATCTCTATAAAGTAAATATAACTGAACTAACAATGTAAATACCCTCAATTTTATTCAGGATTATGAAAACCTGGACACCAATCTCTTTCCACAGTAATTTCCTTGCACAATATACATCGTTCACAAAAAGCTAAGAAATACCGGTATAGCCATAATGTGTGCAATTATGACTCAAAACTAATGTAGATTACTTGCGCGCATAACTCACAGTAATAAAAGTGATAACTTTAGGCGTTTTTCTGCAATATGAGCCATAGATGCATGTCTTTGCTTGGTACACATTGCCCACAGTATTAGAAGTGATTACTATAGGCGACGTGAGCCAATATGAGCCACAACAGGCATGGCTTCACTTGGTACACATCGCCAGGAATAATGATGAATTTCAACCCTGGGTGATGTGCACCAAATATGGTCACCAATTTTACGTGACACAATGACAGAACATACCCCTGCAGAGCTGCACACAACTTTTCTCCTTGCTATCTGCCAGGTAACTGAGATATACAAGTTTGAACCTATCGCTCATACGGCATTCGGGCCAAATCAGCAATCACGGCCAACGTGTTAAAACATTTTGGTAAACTCACTTGGCAAGTGAGTTTGCTATTTAAAAAATGTATATTGATTGTAGTAGTATATAGTTTATGTAAGCTGAAAAGTTGTAGTAATTATAGCTCCAAAAAATCTAGTCCTTGCAATTTTGATCCTTGTAACATCAGTAAATAATTGCAAATCAAACTAATTGGTCATATCTGCAAGGTTTGTTGTCATTGTAAATTTTATGTTATCATATAAATACTTGTTCACCACTGGCCATTTTGATGGTAAATTGCCATCCATGGATGTTATTTGTCTCAATCATCCATCACATTCTGGAAAATAGGACAAAAAATTAGTGGGGAACCCTGATTCATTGCACAGGAAATGCCAATTCTCTGCCTTGTGTATGGATTACAAGGAATGATTGTGGTAATGATCCTTGCCAACTACACATCTCCATATGGAGCCATTTTATTAATTTCAATTGATGTTGCTAATGGCTAATGAATCATGAAGACTAAACATCTTTGCAATTGGTGCTGAAAATATATGCTGTTAAATAAGCATAGTGAATTTTATCCATAGTGTGTTGATTAAGCAATTGATTAATTGTAACTGTCAATTGCTTGACACTGAACACCAATTCAAGGAGTGACCAGTTTCAACTTAGTTATTCAGCAAACTTAGTTTTTGTTTGGGGAATTAATTTAGTGTCATCAATCAATAATTCTTTGAGTCTGTGGTCATTATTTGTAGATGAATGACATGTTTGGCGAGTAAAGACTTTACAACCTAGAAATTTGATTTTAGTGCTCTTTATTTTAGTGCATTTTCTCATCAGACAAACAATATATATATATAGCTACCATTCTAGAATTGAATCATTCCCTATGAAATATAGTAACTGCATATTCATTAGTTGTTGTTCCAGATAAAGCAAGAATGGATGGTGACAAGAAAGCATCTGGTTCAGGGACTGCTCTGACTGAGGAAAGGGCTGTGTCCAAGCCTCTTTCTATGACATACGTTTGTGGAGGTATAGTTTCCTGATTAGTGAAATTCATGAATGTTTCCTTAGTGAAGGTTACTAATTGTATATAAGATTGTTCCATAGGTATATAAACACCTACAAACTTTTTGGGTTGTGGTAAAAGTCTAGTTGGAAATGTTATAATGTAACAACTTATTTTACTGCTTTTCTCCAAAATTTTCTTTGCTAATGCAATCATAACATAATTTAATGATTTAATTGACAAAATCTATTAGGATCATATTCACATGATATTTAATTCTATTATCTTGGCTCCAAATTTATAACTTTCATGTTGAATCATTCACTTGTAATGAAATTTATTCAGTCCTATTTTCATGTGCCTAACTATTGAAGCCAGTTATAACAAACTACAAAGTTATGTGGTTTCATTCAAGCAAACATTAATTTTTATGTTCCTTTACCTATTTGAGATGGATTGTTTCATTTCTCACATCAATGTGTATATGTACTGATTCATTCTTATATTACATGAGAAATATTATGCTGGATTCTAAAGCTCATTTCAATTTCAGAGTGCCATCATGACAATGAAATGAGAACTCGAGACCCTGTTCGATGTCGCAGCTGCGGCTACCGCATCCTTTACAAGAAGAGGACTACTCGTCTCATTGTTTTCGATGCTAGATAATTCCAAAGGCTGCTATTTTTATTCTCTCATAATTCATGGCAACTCATTCACTGTTGATTAATTGTCATTCATTCTAATTTTAGTTCCATTTTCCTGGTTTCATCTGAATTTGGTTCATAAGGTACTAAATGGAAGTGAATGTCCATCACCAAAATTGTTCAAATTTGTATTCACCAAATTTACTTAAACCCATTTATTTGCTTGGAAATTTTACATTTAACAGAGAATAAAGCCTGCCATAGTCTATAATTTGGGAATATTTTTCGGAATTTTCTGTTCATTTTATAAATTTGAGAGAAAGTAGTATCAATTTGCAATGTAGGTACGGTAGCTTTCAAGCATTTAGTGATGGATGTTGAATTTGCACCCTGCAGCAACGTTGATGTGAATCTAGTCTCTCTACAAAAGTTCCATTTATAAGTATTCATCTAATAAAGCACTTCGATATTGTGAGTGCTAATTCTATGAGCATTGCTAAGTAACATTGCTGACGTTGAGGGAGACTAAAACACAAGCTTTGTCATCGCTTAATTCATCTATTAAATGTACGATTATAGTTAGTTTTAGCTTGCATATTTCATGGGGATTTTAGAGTCTTGCAATCCCCAACAGTTGAAAGCTTGAACTTGTTCAAAGTGGCTTGCCTTACTTCATGTAACGACGTGCAGTAACTTAACACGTGCATTGTTGATATTGAAATTTCACTGAACTCTCTGAATTAAAAGCATTTCCAGGAATCACAGCACATTTTTTGAACTACTGACCCACCAATTGAAGCAATTTGAATGTTTGAAGTGAAAAACCAGTAGCAATTAATGTCAAATTTTCCAATGAAACAAACATAAGCGTTGGACTTGATGGCAAGTGAAATCACGTTAAATATGTAAACCTGCCCATAGTAGGAATTTCATCGAATAATTTTATCGGCGAGGAAAGACTTCTTTTGTGGTTTCAGCTACGGTATGCTTTTAAGCGAGTCCGAAAAAGAAAGGCATCGAATATTCCCGTGACATAGCTGTATTTCTAAGCTGGCAGGAACAGCTTCTATTGAATACGGATACCAAATAATAATGATACTTATTTTAAAAGCAGTTAAGCATAAGATTGTGAGCATTCGTGTTAGATAGTTCATGTCGAATTCCAAGTAAACTTCATTGAAAAAAATGTCCTACCTACAAATTTGTCAATTAATCTCTTGACTGCAAGCTTAGCTGCGAGTTACTTTGTAATTTGTATACTAACTAGGCCTTTCGGATGGCTAGCAAAAATTTTTACTTGTAATATGTTTAAGCGCCTGGCTCCAGATTTCTGGTGAATATTTTCCAAGAATCGATTAAAGGCGACGTTACTAGATAATGTGGCCCGATATAGCATTAGCCTTAAAAAGTGAAAACGTGCACTATTCGAGTCGACAAGGTTCATTCTTTCACAACCAATACGTGTGTATTAACGGGGGCCAAATATTTAGGATTTTCTGACCTGACTTATAGATACATTGGCCAGAAAATCTTAGTGTATTCGATTAAATTAGTTTGGCGTGAGTCTTGTAGAGTGTGCGCGCTGTGTCATAAGGCACGTATGAGGCGGCGGCGACAAGACTCCTCTTGCTCCTGTTGCCGCAATCCACTTTGTGCCACCAGTCGCACACGAGTAGCTGCTGCGAGAACGCCGTACCCACTGGGCACACAAAACTGGCTTGTCTGCCGCCGAAACACACGTGGAACACCTGCACGATACACAGGAGTTCAGTTACAGACTAACAGCTATTGTATTTACAAAATTCAACAGATTACTTTCTGTAATCGAATGGCAAAGAAATACTCGCAGTAAGAGCAATGTGGATGGCGGGAATGTTAAATTACTTCATGATTGGCCGCAGACTTCGTCATCAAACTAGATGGTCGGTCTAGAAGAATTATCAAGTCTTCCGACGTGACTGTTTACTTCAGCAGTGCATTTGTACGAGGCGAACTTGCAATATATGTAAATTTATTAATCAATACTCATCTTTGCTATGCTTTTTTAAACACCGAACTTCATGCAACTTGAATAGAATCCTCAAATTCCTGATCGATTTTAAACGACCAATTTAGAAAATTCCTAGTGTCTTAGGCTTATCAGTTCCGCATCTATGACTTACTCGTGATCCATATTTAGTATCCAAATGGTGCTTAGCTTATGCGGTGCCGCGTTGTTGGCAAATGTGAATAATCTAACTTATATTGTACCTGGCAGTTGGTATCAACGTCAGCAAAATATTCTCCGCTCCTGTAGTCCCCGCAGTGGAAGTCAGTTGGTGGGACGCTCACGAGGTCTGGAAAATTGCTCTTTCCTCCAGACGTCTTCTGCGACGCATCGTGGATGTTGTTGAAAGATTTGTTTTGTTTCGAAGACGAGCTTTTTGATGGATAATTATCCATTTTAGTGGATGACCTACAGGAACCATCACTGCAAAACGCTGAATTCTTTGCTTCGGGAGGTTTTACTGCCGAAAAAGAACCTTTTACTGGTTGATCCGATGCAGTTTTCAGGAAATGATCCCAATTGGCAGTTGCGCTTAAAGATTTTCCTCTTCCTGAACTTTTCGGACGCAAAGGCTTCTGCTGGACTGGCTGCGGTCGAGTGAAAGAGGCGGCTGAGGGCTTCGGTTGTTTGTCTATTAAGTTAGAAGTGTGCGGCCTAATCTTGGTTACATGAGGCGTTCGCTGTGTCGCCTTAGGCTTTTTAGTGGTTAACCTGCTAGGCTTTGGAGCTGATGACTGGCGATCAGAGTTGGTTTGTTCTTGGTTCTTTGGTTTTATTCGAGAATTTTCTGGCACAAAACTGTATGACGATATTTCATTTGGCGGAGTTTCGATGTAGTATGGATTTCTAAATGATTCATCTGGATTTGGACCTCCGCTGTGATTTTGTTTCTGGCTGCTGACCTTTTGAGATTGTAAGGACTTTCCTCTAAAAATGTGCGGGCTATTTCTGATGGTGTTTTCGAAGTTTTTTGTGCTGCTTGTTTCAAAATTGATAGCATCATCATTTTCGACTTTGTGCGGGCTTGGTACGACTCCTTGCACCAGTTTCCTCGCTATCATTTTCTTCTTGAGTCTACGCCGTTTAGTATTCAAATTATTAATTCCATTATTATTGAAAGCTTTTGCAAGCTTGGGCTTATCGATGACCTGGGGCTGGAAATAAACTTCCGAGGCGGGAGGAAGAGCCTTGAGTGCAGTCCTTTCATGAGTGGCGATCTCGGACGGTCCTACGTGTACTGGCTCACTGAGCTGCTTGCCAGAGGCGCGGTTCAATTCTTCTGCCAGCCGCAAGACTTCAGGCAATTCTCTGTAGGAACTCTTGAACTTGATCTGACGCGCCCTCTGAAATGAATTAATTTATTATAAAAAATGTAAGAAGTCGTGGAAAAAAATTACATACATCTGTTGTGATTTTTTTCGTACAGATGCAATAATCAATTGGTTCGGTCGCTTTTGTTCTCTTTAATGTTCATGCGAATATTAATTTTGGGTGATAGTTGCAAACTTCTTGACAGCTAGTTTTTTTTTAAATTAAAAGAAATTCTGAACACGTTCTCCAATAAATCTGTTACTTTGAATGCAAATCCCACTGCCTGCCCAAACCCACAACTGTCAATGGACGAGTGGCCAACGTTGTCTTGGAAAATCGCATGTTCCAAGAGTATTTCTTAGAACTTAGATCATTCGATTTCGTAGATCGGAAACTCGATCACTTGACTGTTCACCATCTATCAGATTGTCAACATGGTTTTATTGCCGGTAGATCCTGCACCACTAACTTATTGTCTACGTTGAACGACTGGACTCGCCTTCTGGACTAAAGGGAGCCAGTGGATGCATTGTACCTCGATTTTGCCAAAGCATTTGACTGTGTTCTGCATGAGCGGCTGTTACGTAAAGTGAAGTCTTTGGGAATTGAGGAAAACGTACTCCAATGGATCAGAGATATTCTAATAGGTAGACGACAACGTGTCAGACTGGGCATCAGTGCGCAGTGCCGTGCCACAAGGAAGCGTTCTTGGGCCTATTTTGTTAGCTGCTTTTATAAATGATCTGCCAGAAGTAGTGTCCAGCGTGTGCTCCATGTATGCCGACTACACAAAAGTTTATAATACAGTGAAGGATACGTCAAATAAAGTGCAATTGCTGGATGATCTTGACAGTTTAGTTTACTGAGCTGATACCTGGCAGCTGCGGTTTAATGCTGATAAGTACTCACCTCGGGAAGAGCATTAAACAGCAAGATTACAGTATGAGAAGACATGGTTACGAGAAAGTAATGATTGAAATGTCTAGTGTAGAAAAAGATCTCGGTGTTTGTCTATAAGGAGCTGAAATTTTCTAAGCATGTTGAAACGCAAGCTAACACATCCAATAAACTTCTTGGTCTAATCAGACGCTCCTAGGAGTTCCTAGATGCAGAAGCGATGAAGTTGTTTGTTGCCGTCGTGCGCCCCAATCTAGAGTTTGGAAACGTGTTGTCACCGAGATTTGAAAAGGACAAAAATTTAATAGAGAATGGTCAAAGACGTGCAACAAGGATAATTCGCGGCTTTAAGGGCAAGTCCTACGAAGAAAGATTAAAGATTACGAAGCTTCCAAGCCTCAGTTATTGACGTCTGCGTGGGGACCTCATTGGAGTATACAAGGTCCCCGAAGTACAAGTATGCAAGGGACCTCATTTATACAAGGTTCCCGAAGGATTACTAGATTTTGAAATAAGAATCAACACCAGGGGCCACGGCTATAAACTAAAAAAAACAAAGGACTATAAACTAAAAAATTTTTCGGCAGCAAAGTCTACTCTTCAAGAGACAAGTCTACTCGCCCGGATGAGGTCGGTGAGCTGCCTGCTGAGGCCTCGGTCGTGGTCGTCGCGTGGCAGCATCGGGGTAGTTAGTAGTTCGTGGACCGGCGAATGTGTAGGTGTACCAAGTACCGCTGCATAAATTAATGCACTGCTATTATTTCGTTATTCTGAACCAGTCAATTTTAGGATTGAGTAAAAATAGAATGACTATGCTTGGATCCAGTAGTGGACAATTTTTTTCGAGAAAATACAGTTAACCCGCTAAAGTCTTTTTATATAGTTTTCATACATATTTTATTGAGATTTTAGGTATATAAATTTAATTAACGGTAAATATTACTGCTACTATGGCCGATACTATGTATTGGTGACACCTCTAAAACTCAAGTGCATAGCAATGGCCGTGAGGTATGAACAATGGAATAAAAACCAGGCGATTGATAATGTTGTCAGTGATCGCGTACAAGAAAATTCTAGGGACAACTATGCTCCGGTCAGCTATGTAACTTTCGTGGCTACTCACTGGTGTGCTGAGCTGACGATGCGACCAAGAACAGGGATGCCAACACCACCGAGGTCACAGATGTGAAGATGGTGGATGTACCCTGCTTCATCATCTTGATTCCTCGTTGGAATTTCTCAAGCTATTACTGTATTCAATAATGATGCAACGTGATCGCGTTCGTTAAAAATTCAATATTAAAGTGACTCGTTGTGTAACATAATATTAGTAGTTGAAATGAACGAAGTAAAGATCGAAAGGTTAGTAAACCTTTTTCGTTCAAACTTAGTTTTATCTATTATCTAGAGGATATTCGTTCGACGTGAAGTCTATTGAGTCGTTGAGGTAGAATTCGTAGAAGATTCTCTCGTTCGTAGTTTAGTTGAATGGAGCTTCGTTCATATCTGTGGAATAGAAACATTGTATTCGACATTTGAAGAGCGCTGAATAAAATTTGTTTCTTAAGATTTTGTTTAATCGTTTTACATCTCTGCACCCACATCTTATTCATCGCAACTCGCGAACGAAAAGTTCGCGTCTAGAAAATTCAGTTGTTGAAGAAAGTGTTATACAACCCACTTTTAGCATTAGTACGTAAGCAATTTATTAACATTAGAATAATAACTTGTAAATGGTAATCACCAAAAATTAGGAATCCTGACTCAGAGTTCAACACAGTTTGTCATTTCAGAATCGAGCGCTAGTCCACTAAATTGCACACAAATGTTAATTTTCCTTATGTGCAAATTTAAGCGGACTAACAGACTCGATACCAACACCAGTCCCAGCATCCACATCAGGCTCAACATCCACTCTAGTCCCAGCATCCACATCAGGCTCAATATCCACACTAGTCCCAGCATCCACATCAGGCTCAATATCCACACTAGTCCCAACATCCACATCAGGCTGTGGCACAGCTGGATACGATAATCTCCTACGTTGTGCAACAATCGAACGTCAGTTCCATTATGTGCCCCCACGTGGGTTTGATTGTTTAGTTTTATAGATGTTTTATGAAATCATTCTTCTTTAATTATTCATAAGCAAGGCGTCTTAACAAATGTAATGAATTAATCATTTGCTTGCGCTCTTTTACAGTAAATGATTTATATGCTGTTTTACTGTTACTCATTGATCGTGAAATAGAAAGTTGAAAGTGTTGTTTAAAATCTGCGATTATACGTGATTATTCGTTACAATGCGCGAGTTCAGAAACAAGTTTCATTTCCTCTCTCCCGAGAAACCTTTAAACCATTTAATTGCGGACCGATCCTCCTTGTACCTGACAAACTAACGCACGTGACAAAGGCCAGCAAGGCAATTAAGATTGAATTTGGAAACTCTTCTGTTTTTTACTAATGTCAAGTGGCAAGATGGATACCCATCGTTTCTTCAAATGTTCAACCATTAAAAAATGAGCCAATCAGGTCAGCGTTGTTTTAAAATTTTTAGTTGTTTAAAAATGCACAAATATACGCCTATTTATGATACGTGACTTTTAAAGCAAGCAAATCAGTTGCAGGCAATGTGCCATAAATTTTGATCATCGTAGAAATCTTGATTGCCATAGCAATTGTTAAGGAGGCGGCTGTTAGTCGTAGTCGATGCATTTCACCAGCTGACGTAACAAAGCTGGCATCCGGAGAGCAGCCAACGCTTATATCGTCTGCCCCTGAGCTATGATGCCCTACATTATAATGCTTGGCATTTGCGACACCTCTGCTTCGTCTTCGATGTGTTTAGGCATCTTGGGATGAAACACATTCTCTGGAGTTTTAAATGCATCGCATTTTTTTGGCTTATGCGTGAAAATTAATCGTGTTGACGGTATTACTATGCGGTGTAGTGACGTTCTTCTTGCTGCAATTATATTTTATGTGAATTTTTTTATTATCGAATTTTCATCGATTAACGACCTACCTAATAGGAACTCACTAGTTTCCTGTGGGTAAAATAAAATGCCATTTACTTGGAGAGTTTATAACTCTTTTAAATTTATAAAAAATTATAACAGCCTTTTCTCTTGGTCATATTCGTGAGACAAATGTTCAAATTTTGTGCAATTGGTAGAGAAATGATGTTGAAATTTTATTGCATCTAGAGCAAAATGAAAGTAGTCGCTGTTTATTTCCAGTTCCATCTACCTTGGTTAATAAATGAACCTCAACTTTCTTTCAGTTTCTTTAAATCGCTCGGTACGCTCGCCTCGTATGAATGGCAATTTCGAATGGTAGCTACCAATGATGTACTTCCTCTGTACCGTCTTGCTCAAGCTTCCTGCTTAGTTTAATGCACCCCTTATTGGTGTGGTGAGATTCACCTCACTGCTCGTTCGGGTAACGCTTTGTTGACGGAAGCAGCGGCGAGTGATGAAGAAATGATGATGGCCTGCATCATAGTGAGCGTAGATTTTCGTCCCTTAATAAATCACCGATAAGGTGCACCGATGATTATTATGAGTGCAGCGATTGAAGTGCACTCTTAAGAATTTATGTATAATATTTGAATTCGTCCGCACAATGTTTCGCGCAAGTAAAATGTCACCTCGTAAACGAGTTCTATGTAGGATGTTACATGTCAAGTGCGATCGTGAAGATATTTGCTCGTCTCTAAATTCTTGAAACACTTTAAATATTTGTGCACTTAACTTGAAATTCGCTATCTTTACCCCGTTCTATGAATCAACCGTAATGCATTTGAATGAAGGCGCTTAGTATTGTTTTTCATTGCGGTCGGGTTAGGGTGTCAACGGGTAAGTATAACCCGAATTAATGCGACTTGAAAGCAGCTGCAGTTGATGACAAGTGATCAGAAATATGATCGAGTCAAATCACTGCATTGTGGTTGTGGTTCCAGGCGTTCCGGTTGTATGCGGTTTGATTGTTTCCTGCGAAAAAACCACAGTTTAGTTTGTGCAAGATTGACAAGTAGAGTGTCGGTTCCAAAGTGCATTATTGCCTTCCTTTGGGACGATGTTTATTCGATGTATTGAGCCAAGTATAAGAAATTAAAAAGACTCACAATAAAAATCTATGAATATTCTTAAACTTTTGTTTCATGAAAATCTGTATGTTAACACGAAGAAATACTTCCATTCAAGTTAAAGCAAGTACATGCATAGTAAAGCGAATTACTCGTTCAGGCGTGTAAAGTCTCTGCTGAGTCGGATTCTGATTTAAAAAGGCTAGTCGTTTTCAAAGTAAATATAGTTGTATCTTAATGTAGCCACATATTTTTTTAACACGACTTCCTTGAAAATGGCCTATCGGCGTGCATTCGACCTCGTCTCTACGCAGTATCTGACGAAAGCATATGACTGACATTGCGTAATTTTTCTTCATTCTCTGCCTCTATCCTTTACTTTTAGGATAAATTTTATATTAATGCTAATGCTAGACTACTAGGAGATGATCTCTAGTTAGAGATCATTCTAGAGGATTTCTAGTCAGGTGATCATCGTATATTTTGTCTTTCTAGTTCTAGAAACGTATAGCTTGAATCGCATATATACGCGAATTGCATATTGTCAGAGTCTTCAGAAGCAAACATCGTATTCATATATCACTAGATGAAGAATGACCGATGCGCGCAACTGATCCAAAATTGAGGCGCAAACTCGTAAACCCTATTAATAATGAGTTACTATATATACATTCATAAAATAGCTTCCAGTGCAGTAAAACGCTGGTATACGTACAGCCGTACATTCGAATACAGCACATGAGATTCTCGAATGACTAAAAAAAAACATCACCATATTATCGTGAGTTTAATTTACAAGTTCCTCAATAAATTCAGGGTCGTTATTTTCAAATTATCGGGCAGCTAGTTAGGTTGGAAAAATGTTGACTTGGTTGATTCCATACACTTGCAAATTTTTTTGCGCGAAGCACAAAAAGCGATTACTACCATCTTGAAGCAACATGAAATGTTCTATTGTACCACGAAAATATTCAGCCGAAGCGACACTTTCTTACGCGATTATTACGAACTTATGCAAAGCCCTTCATGCTTATAACCTGCCTTCTCTTGGCTCCAAACCGACACTGCGAGGCTAAAGAAACGATCCATTGTCTCATTGTCGTTCTCAGTAAATAGTCGGACTTTAATTTTTTTTTGCATTGTGGTCCGTCGCAATATGTATCGCTAATAAAAAGTATACCAGAACTCAACATAGATCAACGGCGTATCTTAATTTGAAGAAGCATCTTAGAATGTTACAGAGATTGAACTCCACCAAAAGTATACAGGAATTGATTAATTTCATCGCCTGATATCATTCCAGGCGTCAAAGAACTGTTATTTTAAATTTGAATTGAAAGAATTGGATAACAATGGAGTAAATAATTACTCTTGTTATTTGCGAGAGCATAATTTGGACTCGCAGAAGCATCGTAGAGGCGTGCCGGCATCGCGTTGTCATTGAAGAGAAGAAGTGTTCGAGACGGAGAGGGCGCTCTCTCACGCAACGCTAATGATATGGCAGCTGCAGTAGCTTAATTCGACGAGTGATTGCGTATGAGCCTTGGCTTCCAAGTCATGATCGCCTCCAGCCAATCCTCTGAACTAATTAACCAAGCATCGAACAGTCATGCTCTCACTGCAGCTATCTCTTGTCACGAGGACAAGCCATCGGGTACTCGCGCAACCTAAGGGCAAATTCTACCTTAATTAGCGTCATGAAGAACGAGAATCACGATGTCGGGGAGCTTGGGGGTCACGATGAAAGTGCCACGGTCGGAACTTATATTAATTATATACAGTCGGTCTAGAATTTGGTATTTTGTTGGTGACATCGCATTCTATGAAACGGATATGTTCATTATGAATGTAGAACTAAATTTAAAGTTTAGCTCCATTTTTTCTGTTCTTCTTTATCAGCCTAATGATCATCTTTCACGCTGGGAATTTTTATACGCTTCGTGATCCCGATTACACAGTTAAATTGCAAAACGTAAGCTAAGTTCGGTGGTCACAGGCGTAAAAATCCAACTATTCACTGTTCAGCTTCATGATTTCAAATGGTGCAAATTTGCGCACCCTAAGTAAATTCCTAGCACCTGCACTAGGAGAGTCAAATTTCTATTATTAAAATACATAACGACAGCTAGCAAATATCCACGAATATCGAATAATATGCGGATCTGGTCAGAAATTTCAATATACTAGCAATAAAATGAGAATAAATTCGATTACAAACACGAGTGCAAAATTAAAAAAATCATAGGTGAATTCTTCTGCAACAATTTGGAAATGCACAGTTTTAGAGCCTAAATTTGAAACCTCGTGTAAAATGGTCTAACCAGGTTCGAGTTACGACTTGTGTCCAGTTTGAGTTTCATTGGCAGCGGTTTGAGCGGAGGCTGCAATTCCAATTTCTGAATATAGCACTAGCAGACCG